TACATCTGCCAGCGTCCGTAGACCTCGGAGTCCCCCTTTATCTTTATTATGTTGTTTCTTTATCCTCATTAGATTCTGTAGTATAGGGATATTTAGTATTTCTCTTTAGAGCTTGTGACTTATATCTACCGAGTTTTGGAAGTTGTTTATATTTTGAGTTGCAGATTTTAATCATTACAGTTGTTGATGTCTTGAGTTTTAGCTTAATATTTCAGTTATTCTGCATACTTGTTAGGCTTACCTAGTCTTAGAGACTAGGTGCTGTCAAGACTTCCTACAAAAAAAAATTAGGTTCCCTACATGGTTAAGATATGAATTATTAAGATTTAGATCTAAAAATAAATGCACTTAAGGACTGAGATCTGAATTATTAAGATTTAGACCTCTATTAAGTGAAAACAAATGAGGTCTAATACCATCACCTAAATTTGAAATGTATAATAACTCCGTTAGTTACATCTGATTTATAGTAGATGTATGTAGAGATGTAAAAGTTGTCTCCGAGTGACCTATAAATTACGAGTTCGAGTCGTGAATCAACCCACCGATGCTTGTGCCGAGAGAGATTACCTATATCACACCCCTTGGGTGTGCCATCCTTCCCTGAACCATATGTGAACGCAGAATACTTCGTGCACCGAACTGTCCTTTTGTGAGGGGATAAGAAAAATGTGTAAAGAAGAAGAATATAGGAAAGCCATATATATTATAAGGAAATAAAATGTGAACAATGAACAATAATAAATTCATTTCTTACGACACATCATCATTAAAAAGAAACATAGTAAACTTTATTTAGATTCATTATATCGAAATTTCTATTTAAAGACGCAATTAATTGGATGGCATGGCTGAAGACATTGTTGCATTCATTTCAGGTACAAATTTTGGATCAGTTACACCTATCTTTGATCGTATCTCATCAATTTTCTCAGTCAAATCTCATTCAAGTTCATCAATCTCTTGCTTCAGTTTCTCAAGTCTTTCCAAATTAGTTGGCTTGAAAATTTCCAATGTAGATTCTCCTTTTTTCCTTCTCATTTATTGCCTTCTTTTTCTTCTTTTTCATTGTATCATTTTCGTCACCACATCCAGCCTTTTCATGTGTTGTCTTACGGATTAACATGCAGTAAAATAGTTGTTTTGCTTGGGAAAATCGCTCGACAACCGATTCTACGTTTGGATTGCCAAACATAAACGGTTCAGCAGTAATTGAAAAAATTATTATTGCTATATCAATTCCACATAAGATGGAAAGATCCATCGCTCTTTTACTGAGAGCTTTTTGCTTATTGGAAAGCGCTACCTTCTCAGCATGCTTATCTTTGAGAAATTTCTTTTCGGATTTATTTTTCATTTGAGAGGCCATTCTTGCCATGATTACGCAACAAGATATGACAAGATACAAGTTTCAGTACAGACTCGAGGAGAAACCATCAAATTTATAGCGCAATTTCAACTTCTAAGTTTTGTTAGTTACAAAGACCTACTCGGTAATTTAATAAGATTAACTTCTCTCCTCTACTTTATTAATTTAACTAAAATGCCTAACTTTTGGAAGATAGTATATGTGATTATGACATTATTAAGAATATTGATATTAAAAAACAAAAAATAGAAAATAGTTCCACAAAGAGATTATTTTTCATGCTGAAAATGGAGAAAGACGTTCGATATATTATTTACTCAAATCTATTGTTGTCTTTTTGCCAATTTTGGATTTTCTCACCTCAACCCAATATTCAAAAAGTGTTAAGTATAGACTTTGTGGTGCTAGCCATTTCCAAGTTAGAGCACTAGGTATGAATCTCTCTATTTTGTGAATCACATATAAACCACTAAATTTAGATTTAACATATAGACCTCTACTAAACAGCTCATAAAATTAAGGTTCATAGTACAATCTTCTGTAAATATTATTAAATTATATAAAATGTTGACACAAAATAATAATATCTCAAAAAATAACCTAAATTTATCACACTCTTGTGAAACACTAATACCATCACCTAAATTTGATAATGTATAATAACTCCATTAGTTACATTTGATTTATAACAGACACGTGTGGGAATGTGAAAGTTGTCTCAGTGTGATCTATAAATTGAGAGGTTGAACCTTGAATCAGTCATTGATGCTTGTGCCGAGAGAGGTTGCCTACTACGTAAATGCAAAATGCTTTGTGTACAGGATTATTCCTTTGTGTGTGGGGATATAAAAATTGTGTAAAGAAGAAGGAAAGCCATATATATTGAAGGAAACAAAATGTAAACAATGAACAATAATAAATTTGTTTCTTACGCCACATCATCATTAAAAAGAAACATATATAAAAAAATTTATTTAGATTCATTATATTGAAATTTCTATTTAAAGATTCAACCAACTGGATGGCATGGATGAAGACTTTGTTGCATTCATTTCGAGTACAAATTTTGGATCTTTTACACATGTATCTAATTGTAACTCATCAATTTTCTCAACCAAATCTGTTTCAAGTTCCTCAATCTCTTGCTTCAGTTTCTCAAGTCTTTCCAAATTAGTTGGCTCGAAAATTTCCAATGTAGATTCTCCTTTTTCCTCCTCATTTATTGCCTTCTTTTTCATCTTGTTAATTGTATCATTTTCTTCACCACCTCCAGTCTTTTCATGTGTCGTCTTACGGCTTGACATGCAGTAAAACGATTGCTTTGCTTGCGAAAATCGTTTGACAACCGATTCTACATTTGAATTAGCAAATAGAAATGGTTCAGCAGTAATTGAAAAAATTATAATTGCTATATCAATTTCACATAAGGTGGAAAGATCCATCGCTCTTCGCAGCACGCTTATCTTTGAAAAATTTCTTCTCGAATTTGGTTTTCATTTGAGATGTCATTCTTGCCATGATTACGCAACAAGATATGATAAGATACAAGTCTCAATACTTTAGGAGAAACCTTTAAATTTATAGTGCAGCCACAGTTTTCAAGTTTTGTTAATTACAAAGACCTACCCGGTAATTTAATAAGATTAATTTCTCTCCTCTACTTAATTAATTTAACTAAAATGCCTAACTTTTGGAAGATAGTATATGTGATTATGACACTATTAAGAATATTGATATTAATAAACAAAAAATAGAAACTAATTCCACAAAGAGATTATTTTTCATGTTAAAAATAGAAAAAGACGTTCGATATATTATTTACTCAAATCTGTAAGGAGTATTAAAGGGTAGAGTCACGACTCAAAATTTCCATCGTCGGGGCCGTGATGGTGCCTAATATTTTACTTGCTAAGCAAGATAATGTTAGAGAATCATTAAACTAATCCTTATTCCATTAAGTAAATAACAACAATTAGCTAAGATGAAATATAGTGGGTACGGAATAATATAAAAACTGCATTAATTTTTACCACCCGGATGTGGAGTAACAATTCACGAGCATTCTAGAATTCACTACAAGTAATAGTCTGAAAGAAATACAACTGTCTGAATGAAAGAAAACAGTAGAACATAAGAGATAGATGGGGACTTCAAGGTCTGTGAACGCCGACAAGTCTACCTTGAGTCTCCGGATAGAGGTCCAATAGCAAAATCTCGATCAACCCGAGTCGGTACCAAAATCTGCACAGAAAGTACAGAGTGTAGTATCAGTATAACCGACCCCATGTACTGGTAAGTGTCGAGCCTAACCTCGACGAAGTAGTGACGAGGCTAAGGTAAGGCACCTACAAATTAACATGTACAATTTAACAGTGTATATTCAAAGTTAGACACAACACTTACCTTGTTCCGAAGGCCACTTAATTCCCAATTACAGCTTTTCCTCTAGAATTCACCTTCAAACCACTCGTATCTATTCAAAAATGACTAAATAATATCAAACATTGTTAAAGGAATCAATTACATTGCATAAGGAATCAATTACATTGCATAAATTAAATTTCCCAAATTTTTCTCCAAAAAGTTAAAAATCGACCCCAGGCCCACTTGGTCAAAATCCGAGATTCGGACCAAAATCTATTTACCCAATCATCCCCAAGCCCGGATATATAATTGGTTTTGGAATCCGACCTCAAATTGAGGTCTAAATCCCCAAATTTTCGAAATCCCTAGTTTCTACCCAAACCCCTAATTCTACCATGAAAACCTTAGATTTTAGGTTGAAACCTTATAAAATATAGTGAATGATTAAAAAAAACCAGTTTAGAATCACTTACCTATGATTTGGGGAGGAAATGGTCTTTGAAAAATCGCCTCTTGTATATTAGGTCTTGAAAATTTGGGAAATGAATGAAAATTCCCGTCCAAAAGTCATTTTGATCAGCTGCAGATGTCGCATTTGTGACCTGAGCTTCGCAAATGCGAAGGAGTCATCGCAAATGTGAAGCCATTCACACTTCTTCTGCCTTTGCAAATGCGAAGATAAGTTCGCAAATGCGACTAAATGATCACATTTGCGATCACTGCCCTTCCCCGACTCCCTTCGCAAATGCGAAAGAAAACTCGTAAATGCGAAAACTGTTGGCCCAGCTTCTCTTCACATTTGCAATGAGAAACTCGCAAATGCAAACCTCTCAGAGGTTGCAATTGTGATGCACGATCTCGCAAATGCGAGATCAGAGGCCTGCAATAATATCAGATGCACCAGTAGTGTTTTCCAAACCAAATCTCACTCCGTAGCCTATCCGAAACTCACCCGAGCCCTAGGCGCTCTATATCAAAGGCTCACACAAGTCTAAAAACATCATACGAACTCGCTCGCGCGATCAAATCGCGGCAATAACACCTAGAACGACGAATTTAATACCAAACCAAATAAAATTCTCAAGAACACTTTAAAATTTCTATTTTCTTAACTGGACGTCTGAATCACGTCAAACCAACTCCGTTTCTCACCAAATTTCACAGACAAGTCTAAAATATTATAATTAACATGTATCGGGCTCCGAAATCAAAATACGGACCCGGTACTAACAATGCCAAATATCAATCAATGCTTAAAAATATTAGATTTTTCAGACTTTTTATTTTTATCAAAAATTCAAAACTCGAACTAGGGACCTCCGAATTCGATTTCGGGCATACGCCCAGGTCCCATAATTCAATACGGACCCACAGGGACCGTAAAAATATGGATTCGGTCATGTTTACCAAAATTTTTGACCGAAGTTTACTCAACTGAAGTCTTAAGGCAAAAATTCTTATTTTTATCAGTTTTTAACATATAAACCTTCCGTGCCAATACCCGGACTGCGCACGTAAATCGAGGAGGGGAAAAATGAGATTTGTAAGGCTTAAGAGTGCAGTATCGAGTTCAAAAATATAAAATGACCTTTTAGGTCATCACATTCTCCACCTCTAAAACAACCGTTCGTCCTCGAACGGACATAGAAAAGTACCTGAGCTGGTAAAAAGGTGGGGATATCTGCTCCGCATATCAGACTCGGACTCCCAAGTAGCTGCCTCAATGGGCTGACCTCTCCACTGCACTCGAACTGAAGGGTAACTCTTTGATCTCAACTGGCGAACTTGTCGGGCTAGGATAGCCACCGGCTCCTCCTCGTAAGTCAAATCCTTGTCCAACTAGACAGAGCTGAAATCTAACACATGGGGCGGATTGCCGTGATACATTCGAAGCATGGACACGTGGAACACCGGATGGATTGATGATAACCCCAGTGGCAATGCAAGCCTGTAAGCCATCTCTCCTACCCTCTCTAGAATCTCAAAAGGCTCGATATATCTAGGGCTCAACTTGCCCTTCTTTCCGAATCTCATTACACCCTTCATGGGTGATACCCGAAGCAACACTCTCACTCCGACCATGAATACAACATCACGAACTCTGCGGTCGGTATAACTCTTCTGCCTAGACTGAGCTGTGCGAAGTCGATCCTGAATAATCTTGACCTTATCCAAGGCATCCTGTACTAAGTTTGTGCCTAATAACCGAGCCTCTCTCGACTCGAACCACCCAACTGGCGACCGGTACCGCCTACCATATAATTCCTCATAAGGAGCCATCTGAATGATCGCCTGATAGCTGTTGTTGTAGGCGAACTCCGCAAGGGGGCAACAACTGATCCCACGATCCTTCGAAGTCAATAACACATGCGCGGAGCATATCCTCCAAGATCTGAATAGTGCGCTCGGACTGGCCGTCTGTCTGAGGATGAAATGTTGTGCTCAACTCACCCCGCGTACCCAACTCACATTGTACTGCCCTCCAGAAGTGAGAGGTGAACTGCGTACCTCGATCAGAAATGATAGACACGGGCACATCATGAAGACAGTCTATCTTATAAATATAAATCTCTGCCAACCGCTCCGAAGAATAGGTAACTGCCATAGGAACGAAGTGTGCTGACTTGGTCAGCCTGTCCACAATGACCCAAACTGTATCGAACTTCCTCTGAGTCCGTGGGAGTCCAGCAACAAAATCCATAGTGATATGCTCCCACTTTCACTCAGGAATCTCTATCTTCTGAAGCAAACCACTAGGTCTCTAATGCTCACACTTTGCCTGCTGGCAATTTAGACACCAAGCTACATATGTAATTATGTTTTTCTTCATTCACCTCCACCAATAATGTTGCCTCAAGTCCTGATACATCTTGGCGGCGTCCGGATGAATAGAGTACCGGGAACTGTGGGCCTCCTCAAGAATCAACTCACGAAGTCCATCCATATTAGGCATACAACCACGACCATGCATCCTCAAAACTCCGTCATCTCCAACAGTAACCTGCTTGGCACCACCGTGCCGCACTGTGTCTCTAAGGACAAGCAAATAAGGATCATCATACTGCCGATCTCTGATACGCTCAAACAAAGAAGACCGAACAACTGTACAAGCTAGAACATGGCTGGGCTCAGAAACATCCAACCTCACGAACTGATTGGCCAAGGCCTGAATATCCAATGCAAGCGGTTTCTCACCAATTGGAATATATGCAAGGCTACCTATACTAGCTGACTTTCTACTCAAAGCATCGGCCACCACATTGGCCTTCCCGGGATGATACAATATGGTGATATCATAGTATTTCAATAGCTCTAACCACCTCATCTGCCTCAAATTGAGCTCCTTCTTTTTGAACAAATACTGCAAGCTCCGATAATCCGTGAATACCTCACATGGCTCGCCGTAAAGATAGTGCCTCCAAATCTTCAGCGCGTGAGAAATGGCTGCTAGCTCTAGGTCATGAACATGGTAATTCTTCTTGTGAACCTTCAGCTGCCGCGAAGCATATGCAATAACCTTGCCACCTGCATCAATACCACACCCAGAACAATACGGGATGCATCACAATATACAGTATAAGATCCTGAACCTGAGGGTAATACCAATATCGGTGCCGTAGTCAAAGCTGTCTTGAGCTTCTGGAAGCTCGCCTCACACTCGTCTAACCACCTGAACGGGGCACCCTTCTATGTCAACCTGGTCAATGGGGTTGCTATGGATGAAAACCCCTCCACAAACCGACGGTAATAACCTGTCAATCCCAAGAAAGTATGAATCTCTGTAGTTGATGTGGGTCTAGGCTAGTTCTGAACTGCCTAAATCTTCCTAGGATCCACCTGAATACCTTCTGTTGACACAACGTGACCCAAGAAAGCAACTGAACTCAACCAAAACTCGCATTTTGAGAACTTAGCATATAACTGGCTGTCTCTCAAAGCCTGAAGAACGATCCGAAGGTGCTGCTGATGCTCCTCTCGGCTGTGGGAGTAGATCAAGATATCATCAATAAACACAATCACAAAGGAATACAAGTAGGGCTTGAACACCCGGTTCATCAAATCTATGAATGTTGGTGGG